TTTTTTTGTGTGAACATGTGCTCCATATTCCAAAAGAAGAATCTAGGAATTGATTGAGGTGTGGTGGGGGTGTGTGGATAGAACATATTTATTTGTACTTTGGCAATTTCCCATATATGTATAATGTGATCCTTTTTTTTTTTTTTGAGACAGCATGGCTGAAAGTACATTCAAGTATACAAATCTGAGTGAAAAGGTTGATGCTTAGTCAATAGACTTTGCCACAGGATTCATGTAAATATTGGTCTTTGGCTTATGGCAACAGCTGCTATTTACAGAGCATGTACACTCCTATTTGTGAATCTGCCTAGAATTCATTATCTGTAGACTTTGTTCTCACCTCCCTTATGATTATCAACACCCTGCTCTAGCAGCTTCTACTTCAACCAAATATGAACTTCTGTTTTGAAATGGGGTTGGAGAAAAAGAAAAAATGTTTCTAAACCTAACCTTGCCTCCAATACTAGATGCCTATTTTGGAAGATATGAACATCATAGAAGTTGTGCAGTTATTACTTCGACAGAGTCAGACATGACATGTCCAATAGCTACCAAAATGTATGTTTACTCATGGTATTCAATTGTTTCACAAAATTCATAAAGGCTTCTTCAAGGGCTTGATGTATCTGAAATTTGTCATGGGAGCCACATAGTAGCTTCAAACCACATCATTATCTTTAAAAGATATTACACAGAATTGTGGTCACAGTATCTTGTTTGCAGCTATGATACCAGTCTGCTTGAGTCAGCAATCTTTCTCATCTTTCTTTTTTAATTTGTGGTAGTTGCATTTTTTAAAGCCATATATTCTCGGTGCTGATGTTGTTGAGGAAAAACTAACAGTCATATTAAATAGACACTTCTTAATCATCTAATACTGCATCAGATGGTATGCTATACTCTGGTGTTTCCAATAAATTACCCAAACAATAATGATTCTCTGGATAGTTACTACTGAGAGGGGTAAACCCTAATGGGAACAACTTAGATATTCAAGAAGGGGTTAGAAAACAATTATAAAGCACATTCATAAATGTAATATTAGACAAACATTAAGAATGAATATGTGTGTGGGGGGGAGCAGAGAGATAGTTCAGCAGTTTAAAACACTGCTGCTCTTGCAGAGCACAGTACCCACATGGTGGCTCACCAGCACCTATAACTCCAGTTCTAAGGGATCTGATGCCCTCTGCTGGTAATTCTTGGGATTGCATGTATATGGTGCACAGACATGCAGGCAAAACACCCTAACACATAAAATAAAAACGAATAAATCAAAAACAAAATTTTGAAAGAATGATTATGCAAATAGACATTTATTGACTCTGAAATATGCTCTTAATATACAGTTGGATGTAAAGGAAAGTCAAGAATAGTAATTTCTCATTTTAGAAAAAAAGGAAAGAAAGAATTTATGTAAACAGTGGAAAGCTCCAGGTATTACCAGTAGTTGCACCAATGTGATAGGATTATTGGGAACAGTTTTTTTTTTTCTTTTCTATTATATCTACTTTTTCTTTCCTTAGTGAAGCTGCTTCTTTATGTAGGTAATAAAGAAAATAGCAAAGAATAAAAAGCAAAACATTGCTTGAAGGTAGAAGTATGGGCTAGTAGAATAAGTCAAAAACTAGAAAGGAAAATGGGAGTGTGATAACATACACCAATAATCATGAGAAAGAGGCTAGAAGTTGGAGAAATTAGGGCCAGCCTGGGTTACATAGTGAGATAAAACAAAAACAATACCGTTTTATCCTAAAGAAACAATGTGTCTCAGCATCTGCTTTGATACATTTCTAGGTAGTCTTTCAGAGGCCCTCAGTAGTAGGCTCTTGTCCTGTTACTTGTTTTCTCCTTCTTCCAATGTCCTTCCCTTTTGTCTTTCTAAGTGGGATTGATCTTCTTACTCGGGGACCTCCTTCTTGTTTATCTTCCTTAGGTGTACAGATTTTAGTATGTTTATTCTATCTTACAGGTCTAGTATCCACTTCCAAGTGAGTATATACTATGTGTGTCTTTCTGCTTCTGGGATACCTCACACAGGATATTTCAAAGCAGATGCTGAGACTCATAGCCAAACTTTGGGCAGAGTGCAGGGAATCTTATGAAAGAAGGGGAAGATAGTAACACCTGGAGAGGACAGGAGCTCCAGAAGGAGAGCAACAGAATCAAAATATCTGGGGTGTTTTCTGAGACTGATACTCCAACCAAGGCACATTCATGGATAGAACCGAAAACCCCTGCTCAGATGTAGCCCATGGCAGCTCAGTATCCAAGTGGGCTCCCTAGTAATGAGAACAGGGACTGTCTCTGACATGAACGCAGTGGCTGGCTCTTTGACCAACCCCCTGAAGGAGGAGCAGCCTTGCCAGGAAACAGAGAAGAACATTGCAGCCAGTCCTGATGAGACCTGAGAAGCTAGGGTAGGATTGGAGGGGAGGTGGACCTCCCCTATCAGTGGACTTGGAGAGGGACATGGGAGGAGATGAGAGAGGGAGGGTGGGATTGGGAGGGGATGGGGGGGTTACAGCTGGGATGCAAAGCGAAGAAAATGTAATTAATGTAAAAAAATAAAATTTTAATTAAAAAATAATTAAAAATGGAAAAAAGAAACAATGTGGCAATAATGTATAAAGTAACAGAAGCAATATGTTATTTTACTGGTTACAATAATGTGAACTGGGTAAGGAACTGCTA